GACAGAAGAGACATTATGGAGTTACTAGAGCCTGCCTCACCTCGACTTGCTTCAATACAAAAGAACACACTACAAACAATTACACGGGACAGCAATGGCCTCGCCTTCTGTTGTAGTTGCTGAAATTGTAATGCAATCTATAGAGGAACACCACTCTACAAACATGCATCACTACCTTTTTTATTCTAGCTACGTAGATGACACAATCACAGCACTACATGCAGACGAGATTGATGACTCCATACTCACATCAACAAACAGAACAGTTACAATTAATTAAAGATGTCGAAGAAAACGGAACTCTTCCTTTTCTCGACTGTTTGTAAAACATGACAATCAAAACAGGAACAACAGTTTATCGCAAGCCAACACATACTGATCGACTACTAGACCAATCATCTTACAACCCTACATCACACAAAGCCACCACAATCAGAACATTAACAAGACGTGCACAAATCATATGTGATTCACCGGACGCTCTACAAAACGAAAACAACTATCTCAAACGTGTTTTGACAAAACAACTATAACTCTGACTTTATCAAACGCAACACTTACAAACCCAACGAACCCAACGAAACGAACAACTCAGTGACAACAGCAACGATACCTTACATCAAAGGTACGTCTGAGACTATCTCGCGTATCTTACGACCATACAACATACGTGTCGCACATAAACCAATCACAACATTACGACAAGTACTAACGAGCATAAAGGACAAAGAACAACCAACGAACGACAAGGTGCAGTTTACAAAATAAACTGTCTGACTGCCACGCCTCCTATATCGGGGAAACTGGCAGGAACTTAAACATAAGACTTACTGAGCACAAACGAGCTACTAAGAAACAAGACAAAACTAATCACATTGCCGAACATCACCGAATCACAAAGCACAACATTGACTGGGACTCGGCAAAGTGCATCACTTACAGTACTGACTATAGACAACAGCTTACATTAGAAAGTTGGTATACCAACTTGGAACAAACCCCTGAACAGATCACAGCAATTACCGGCACCTTACAAACGACTTATTCACAATACAAACAAACGATCAACTAAAACATTACACTTCAAACTAATTCACAATGACAATACACAATTGACACCCACACACTACAACTAAAACGTCACACCTAAATCACACATCACAACTAAAAATAAAATATTTCACTTCACACTAATCCACAATGACAATACACATTTCCTGCACATTTCTGCCAATAACAATACAATGACGTAAGAACCAGACAACAAATACGGCTAACCTCATTTGACTCTGAAGATGACTACCGCTAAGGTTGTCGAAACGTCAGTCAACAACATCAAAAACAGTCCTTCTCAGGACTTTATTAACCTGGACGATAATCATTTACAAACAGATAACGATACTCCCGGGTTCAAACCATTTACTTTATTATTCATGATACTTATTTTTTTATCATCAGCATCATTCGTTTTATTAAAAATTCATAGTATTATGAACAACAAAATGTTTACATGGCAAGAAGAAACTTGCGGGTTTGCTACGTCACTGATCATGTGATAGTTTCATGTACGTATATCTTTCATTATTTTCTTATGGGTCAAATTAAACACTATTCCTGTCAATCCTGTCATGTAATTTAATACAATGTAATTTTTTAATTAGATTATTCATTTAGCTTGTTGTATCTAAGACTGTTGTAGATGTCTTATGTGTCTCGACAAAGAAACGTCTTCAATAGAAAAACCTTGATGCTACAAATTTATTTAAAAAATGCAAGCTTTAAAATATATAATTATTGGGCTTACCTCTTAATCATAGTCCATTATATTTTTATAGAAGATAAAAGAATGGAATATGCCTTATTTTTCTTAGTATAACTTACAACTTAGCGCATGTTAACTACCCATAAAAACTGAGCATGACAATTAAGGCTTTCATTGTGCAAAAGGGAAAACGATTTTTCTTTTTGAATCAACACAATATACAAGTGTTTCTCAAAATACATGAAAAAGTCAATGCTTCTTTAGAGAACTACAAAAAACTTTCTTACTGTTATTAAAAACATCATGAAAAATAGCAAAAATATACCAACTAATGTGGAAAAGATTATTTAAAGGCATTTGACTTCACTGCAGCCTTTAATGTAAAAAATATTGGGACAAATTCGTTTCTTTGACAATAAGCAAGATAGTGTACAAATACGAGTGCTTAGACCATCTATGACAAATAATCTATACTATAAACCATGGATTTAATACCATTTGATTTGGATATGGATTAAGACGAAAAATCTTAATTGCAACCTATATATAGCTACTCACTTCCAAGGTATAGAAATAAGTGGTCAATCAAGGTGAAGCTCAGATCGTCTTTCAAAAAATTTCCATTTTACTTGAAAGAAAAAAGTTACATTAAATATAAAAAATTTATAAAATAATCCTTAATTTATAAAAGATGCTGTTTTTTCTCATTTTGTGTAATAATATTACGTTAGTCACTAATAATAAACCTTTATTGATACTACTTACATTCAGTTGTGCTATTTCAATCGTTTAGTTCAGGAACAAGACTACAATGTTTCATGATTGCCAATCTTTACAACAAAGAAAACATTGTGGTTGAATAATAAAAACGATTGGTGTTTTCATGGGCAATGTGCCAATGTAGTGTTGATTGATAAAAAATGCAAAACATTATGTCGACACGCCTCTTTCATAAATAATTGACACGTTGCGGTTTGTCGGACATTCATGAAATTCTTACTTGGCGCCATTTGTCTGTCTTGTCTGACGTTTTTTTAAAAAGTTTGAATTTTGAAACACACACCAGAACCAGAACTAGAACCTTATAAAAAATTAAATTAGTTGATCAAATGTTACGTTGTTTTTTTCATTTGACGAACCTGATCACCTCTATAACGCTTTCTTAAATAAGATTGGAAAGTGTTTTAATATAATTTTATATATAGTTATATCGTTTATATAGTGCTATATTTATTCTCCTGGCGAGTGTGGCAAGTTAAACAACTGCTATACGAAACAGGATCGTGACTAAAACACCACACGAGTACATACGAGTACATACAAGTAACATACGAGTACATACGAGTGACATACGAGTACATACGAGTAACATACAAGTACATACGAGTAACATACGAGTACATACGAGTGACATACGACTATTTTCTGGTCAACAAATGAGAAACAACACAATTTCTTCAATACATTGATATTTGCGTTTATTTTTCCTTGTATTTGTGTGGACTTTGGGGCAACCATTTGATGGATTTAAATGCTGAAAAGGTATTTTACTTTCATACTACATTCATTTGTATGTTTTAGTTGAATTTGTTATAGATATTTTGTAGATGCGATTTGCCAGTATTTGAGCGCTTTTTGACACACTTTCACCCAGGAAATACATATTTATGAAAGCGATTATACATTCATTTTGGTCTTTAAGATACTGATTTTGCAGTTAAAAGACTGAATTATATCAGCTAGAACTTTAAAAACATTAAAAGTAAGCTGAAATTGTACGCATAATATGATATATATACGTAACACAGTGCAACTCTCATTTAATTCAAATATATATAATGTACATTTATTTCATATAGCACGTTTTGAAAGCATTATTTATACGTTGTTTATTTAATCGCTTTCATAAATATGTATTTCCTAGGTGAAAGTGTGTCAAAAAGCGCTCAAATACTGGCAAATCGCATCGACAAAATATCTATAACAAATTCAACTAAAACATACAAATGAATGTAGTATGAAAGTAAAATACCTTTTCAGCATTTAAATCCATCAAATGGTTGCCCCAAAGTCCACACAAATACAAGGAAAAATAAACGCAAATATCAATGTATTGAAGAAATTGTGTTGTTTCTCATTTGTTGACCAGAAAATAGTCGTATGTCACTGTATGTACTCGTATGTTACTGTATATGTACATGTTGTATGTACTCGTATGTCACTCGTATGTACTCGTATGTACTCGTGTGGTGTTTTAGTCACGATCTACGAAACAGTTCTGTAGGGAATAAATTTCGATGAAGCAATTCGTGGTTTATTTTATTTTTAATTAGTTATATAGTTATTTAGTTATCTAGTTATATAATTTTATATATAGTTTCATAGTTTTATAACTATAAGAAATAAAGCGTAATAAGAAAGTGTTTTAAGAAAGCGTTATGGAAAAGAAAGCGTTATGGAAAAGAAAGCGTTATAAGAAAGTGTTTTATTAAAGCGTTATAAGAAAGTGTTGTAAGAAAGAAAGCGTTATAGTCTTTTTTCTAATAGAAAACGAATCATTTGAAGTGTTAACTGTCTCTACAAGACAACTTCAACGATATCAGTCTTCTGAGGGGATAATTACTTTTAATTGTTCCAGTTGCGTAAAGTTTGTTCCTGTTGTGTAAAATATTTAGGTCTTCACTCACTACAAAAACAGTAAATCTCTAATGAAGTGTTAATGTTCTGAAATTTACATGGCACAACCAACTTTGCGGGCTGGCTACGCACGTCACTGCGATAAGGACAAGTAGAAATTCTACTTTGATGTTTGTGTAACTAACTGTTAGTGTTTTAACATTTTCAGCTAACCGACAGTCAATTTAAATAACATGCTAAGTAGTATCTTACGACGAGATAATTTACCTACACCTCAAGCACGTGAACGTTCTGCATCAGCACCCTCAATATCAACTGTCAACAATCAATCATCCTCTCCCAATTTACCCCGACCCTCCCCTGATCTTTCACAGTCCTCATCAACTCCATCTCCTAGTCCTGTACTTTCCAGCAAAACCCTTGTTTCACCCATACAATCCCCTCTACCTACTTTTGTTGAATCCGAGTTACGCGAATCCGCTGGTTTAAAGATTAAAATTGAAAAATCTAATCTTTCTCCTGAATATGACTGTTCTGTTGTGAAAGAGGTTGGAAAAATTTTGATATTACTTTCTGTAGACTCTAAAGATTCATCTTTATGTTTTGTCGATAGCATATAATGAAACTTTGAAAACATTGATGTGTTGTATGGGGACTTACCCCGTTTCTTCCTTACCTGTCGTTAATGAAACTTTGAAATATTGATGTGTTGTATCGGGACTTATCCCGCTTCTTCCTTACCCGTCGTTTTTTTGTCCTATGTTTGGCAGAAATGAATTGTGAACGAGTAACTTTTTACAAGTGCCCCTCCTCCATTGATTTTTAGTTTGTTCTCTTTTTGTCACATGCAAAAATATATTGAAAATATATATATGCAGTTTATGGGGATTTTGCTTCGAGTTTTGAACCGTCACGAGACAATTGTTTTGGAAAAAAAAGTTGAATTTTGTTTTAAATGAGGATTTTTTTAAGATCCATTATTTTAAAATTTTCTGTTAGGAAACGAACCAGTCTCCCTTGTAACGGTGTTGTGTTGGAATTACTAATTGAATAATTTTTCATTTTAGGAGCCAGATTTAGCATCATCGCTATGCAGTTGTTCTACTGGTAAAGAAATTGTTAATGTTTCGTCCTCACCAATGAATATATTCGCCAATATATATATTCACCAATATATTCACCAATATATATTCAATATATATTCAATGAATATATTCACCAATGAATATAGCCTTTCGTCCATAGAATTTAGGTGTAGTTTCCTTAACGTAAACGATGAACTTATAGTTTACTATTTATTTACGTGGAATTTCCTATTTAATTTAAGTCACATTTTGCACGAAAACTTTAATTTGCTACGCACGAAACCATTCGTATAAATAGAAGTAAATTTAGAGCAAAGATTTGAGTTGTTATTCGATAAGAATGTTAAGTTGTCTGAGATTGTTGAGAATTGGTCGTATAATCCTTTCTTAATAAAATTTCCATAACTAAGAATCAGACAGGCCATAAATGCCAATTTTTCTTTAATTTCAAGATGTGTAAGCTTGTACAGATATTTTTTAAGCTTGTAGAGATATTTAGCTATATCCCATGTGATAGACAACCCATTAAGGTAAAACTGAGCTATAAATTATTAAAGTACTCGAATACGTCTTCGTTTCACATATTTTTGTTTATAATTGATAAGCCACCTGGTCTGTATTAATTAGCTAAAAACGTTTCTAGTTTAAAAACTTTTGCAAGGAACCTCATTTTAAAATTATTTGACAGTTTTACATGCAGAGTTCTGTTTTGTTTTGTGGTTTAAGATTAATTTTGGCTTGAGCAACATAATGGGTTCTTTAAGCGATATTTAGCTGTATGATCATTATTATCTATTACAAATATAAATGTTAAAAAACTAAATCAAATATGACTAAAATCAGTGTTTAAAAATATCCATGATAAAGTGACAGTCAAATGTAAAGACAACTTTCCCAATAACCTAGGTCAATATTTAAAGCATGTTCATGAGTTGAGGCAGATCGACTTCCTCGTATCGCAGTAATTGCTTACCTAATCAGTGCGAATGGCAGTTTACAACGCATCCACGCTAGCGTGATGCCATATTGCAGCTTTCTCTGCAATATGGCATCAAGCTATGATTCTCGCTAGCTGTATGATGTTAGCGTTAATGCGCGAAAAATATCTTTACTTCAAAGCATGGACTGAAATTAAAAGCTTTTACAGGACAATGACGTGCTGTTTTGATTATACATGTCATCATTACAATAAATAAGCTTAATGAAAAACACACGTCAATTTCAATGTAAGACGTAGATGAAAGTGCAAATAACAAACAACAGGTGAAGCGTAAAAGCAATATATCACTAAAAAAGAGAAAGGCATTTTTAAAGAAAAAATTATGTCATTCTTCAAGTTTTATGATCTTAAAATACATAGAACTTATGTTTAATAGAATGCGTTGAGGAATAAAATTTCATTAAAAAGATATAGTATAAGAGTGTTTAACAAAAATGCAGGCATAACTCATAAGGTGAAAAACAGGTTTTCAAACTCCACAGTGATCATGAAAAACAACAAAGTAACACCCACAGCTGAGAAAAATCCTTCAACCTGAAGAATTATAGCTTCCTCAATCATTAGGTTTAGTATTTCATGAATAACATAAAATGACACCTGTCATCTTCTTTCGTTCATTTTCTTATAATACATGAAGCAAATAACGAAAATTATTTAAATTGCGACAAAATGTACAAGGCGTGAATTAAACTATAGCATGCAATCATACTAAAACCATTTGCTATATTCTTTCTTACTATATTCCTTCAACTCACAGTCGTTGAGTTTGTACAGTCCCGGGTTTGTGACCGGTATAACCAGTTTAAGAGGTGAAAGGAAGACAAAATTGTTAAGTTGGACTTAAGAGGAGTTAAAATCTGTAAACACACCAGGATCAATGAGCCAGGCGGGAATCGTAATTGAAATATAAATATTAAAGCCCGGTATATAATGTGTTAAAACAGCCATAAATAGAGAGAGAAAAGTAATATATGTTTATTACAGAATGTTAACAGGTCATGAAGCTTTGTTTTTATCATAAGACATTCTCAAAGCAATGAACAAAGTGAGTTAATATGAACAAATGAAACATAACTATATACAAAGTATTGCGTCAGAAAAACTACTGCAGATTAAAGCGAGCAAATGGATCTCTGGTACTTTTGACATAAAGTTAATGCACATGCGTATCTTTCTTTTTCCGACGCGCTTTCGTCAACATATGGTAAAGCCTCTATGTCAACTCTTTGATGCATTACGAGATTCTATAATTCATAAAGACAACCACAAACTGTTTAGCTATATGATTGAATTTTTGAAAATTTTAGTTTTGATTTAGAGTTTAATTTATTTAGAAGCGTCATTGGCGATAGGCGCTGGAGTTCCGTAAACGACGATTGGCAACCTTGAACCACAGGAATCGTGGTATTACTGAGCTGTTCTTACAAGCTTTCAAAAATTGAAGGTCCAGTTTGGCTTTGCCAAGTTTTAAATCCAGACGTTGGAATTTACGAAAAGCTTCAAGTGCTCCATTATTATAGCGTTTCTTCAGAATTGTGACCAGGGACATACCGGGCGGAAAGCGAATTTTTAATATAAATATTAAAGCCCAGCAAAGTGCTTTTAAAAGAGCCTTTTAAAAGTGCTTTTAGAGTTAAATTTATCGTTCGTGTAAATGTGTAAGGTTATTTTGTTGTTATGCATGCACATTCGTGATTTGTTTATTGCTTCGCTTGCTAATTACTTACCGTAGCGGCAAAACCACTTAATTTTGGACAATAATGAAAGATGACCAATAAAATTTGAAGTTCTGAACCGGATGCTTTATTACTGATACTAAAATTTAATATGGGTTGAGATAAAACGCGGATGCGGATGGCACGGATACAGATGAGAGGATAAAACAAGGATGTGGGGATAAAACACGGATGTGGGGATAAAACAAGGATGTGAGGATAAACGGATGGAAATGGAAGGATGGAAACAACGGATGGAGATAAAACGGAGGATAAAACATGGATGGATAAAAATGGATGGATAAAATGGATGGGGATAAAAATGGATGATGGATAAAAATGGATGGATGGATAAAACGGATGGATGGATAAATGGATGGATAAAATGGATGGGGGATAAACAATGGATGGATAAATGGATGGATAACACGGATGGATAAATGGATGGGGATAAAATGGATCGAAGGATAAACACGGATGATGGATAAAACACGGATGAGGGATAAAACACGGATGGGGATAAAACAATGGATGTGGATAAAACAAGGATGTGGGGATAAAATGGATGGATGGATAAAACACGGATGATGGATAAAACATGGATGGATAAATAATGGATGGAAACACGGATGTGGATAAATAAGGATGTGGGGATAAAACATGGATGTGGGGATAAAACATGGATGGATAAAACAAGGATGGGGATAAAAATGGATGGATAAAACAAGGATGGGGATAAAACAATGGATGGGGATAAAAAAGATGTGGGGATAAAACATGGAATGGAGAAATAATGGATGGGATAAAATGGAAGGGATAAAATAATGAAGGAAATATGGAAACATTTAGAATAATATTGTGGAAAATTGTTCCATGTGCCAAATTGTAGGAAAGTAAAACCTAAATATTTTAAAACATCACCAAAAACGTTTCTCTATAAAATGTCGCAAGTTGCAGGTTAAATAATGTCGACAAAACGATCGTATCTGAGCCATCATTGACAAGAAGACCACGATGAAAAAGTAAGACTTAAAAACGTCGACACACGTAGAAATGTTAAGGAACTTTAGTATAATGCTCTTGTACGAACCGAGTGAAACCAAGTCAAGTGACGTGTTTAGATAAGATTAGTTCACGTTTGAATTTATTAAGGAATGTCACAAAGTAGACGCTAATTCTGAAAAAAGAAGCGATAACCAGTGACGTTTATGAGCCCATTCGCAATGAAGATAAAGTGGGGGGGGGGAAATGCAGAAACTTTTATGTTATGTGGAAAAAAGGCATTTAACAATGCATTCCTTTGGACACCACTCAGCTTTCATTCGCTTACCCTTTCTTTAAAAATTGATAGTTTAATGCAAATTACGACAAACACAAGCAGAAAATGCACTCTACACGATTCGCATTAAATAAAAACAAAGACAAAAGTTGTAATGAATAATTTATTTAAATCACGCCACCAGAATGCAGGCTCCGCCAACTTCTTTAATTTTTTCTTCAGCCTTGCGGCTAAAAAATTTGGCCTTTACAATTACTGGTTGTTTGGGCAGCAGACCTTTTCCAAGTACTTTGAAATAGCCCTAGAAATAAAATAATTATAAACAACAAAATTTTTCCGAATAGTATGTTTATAAAACTTCAAATAAAAAATTCTACAGAAGTATAACACAATGAATTTTGAACATAAATTGGTTGAGGAACATGTAAACAAAACAGTTAAATGTGAAACAGTCGTGTAACAATGTTTTTACATTTAAGAAATAAAAGATGTTTACTGTGTTTGCACAGGCTTATGCAAACCGAGGAGACATTTGACCTTTGGGAGAACTCGAGAGTTGATCAGTGCAAGCCCGAGACCGAAGGTCGAGGGTTGCACATGCTCGAAGTTCTCACAAACGTCTCCGAGGTTTGCATAAGCCAGTGCAAACACGAAAAACATCTTTTATTTCTTTAAAAATAAAATAATGCGAAAGACAAACATTTTAATTTTTCCTCTAAAATGTATTCGTGATCGATTTGCAAATTGTCTTTGACCGAATAATTGTTTTGATTGGTCGAGCTCAGATGTGTTCTGCACAGGCTAATGCAAAAACAGCTTTAGACCAATCACTGCACGCGTTTCATTGTTTTTATTTGACAAAATAAAATGATAAACACTATGCATCATGAATCTACTATACTATCAGCAATTTTATCATTTGCAATTCACTGGTGCTTAAGCCTCGATGATTTAGAAATATGAAAATGAATTCAGTAAATTCGGTGCTGTATATAGTACAGCATTTAAGTTATTTCATATTGTGTTTGCCTATTTGTACGATTTTTGTTAAGACAAATTATTGTGTTGGGATAAGACGCCAAATAGACCAATGAAATAAACGATTTGTTCTTAGCTAATCCTCTAGAAGAAAACCGTCAACACTTACAGCTCTGACAACATCAATGACAGGTGCAGGACCATCTTTCTTGTCTTTGTAATATTCTCTAGTTTGGTCTCTGACTACTGATCAAATTTTGTCCAAGTTGATTGTTGGACAATGATATTTATTCCTTGTTAAATGAGAATATCGCATTCCAAATTTGCCAAAATAACCAGGATGGCTAAAAACATTGAAAAAGAAGATTACAAAATTCTGAAGACAAACAAGAAAGATATTATTGAGAAATACAGCTCGCGTATAAAAATGCCTGTATACGTATCAGGGTGAGGGAAATAAGGAGTGTAAATAAATCCATTTCAAGAACACTTGTAATATACTTTTTAGGTCGAAAATTTTGTCATCATGGACTTTTTGCGTAGATGACCAAACGCTGGAAATTACGTACAAAGTAGAACACGTGCATTGACGGTATAGCTTTCATTATACAGAATTATAGTTAGGAATAAAGCCGTTATAACAAATCTTCTTAAAAAACTACAATTTTAATTAAGATTTGTGAAAAATTCGACGACATCGATTGAGTCAATAATCAAAGAAAACCTTTTAAAAAACACATCTCTTCGGACACAATTTCCTCCACTGAAATAAGATCTTTATTTCCCTGACTCTGATATATGCACATTAAAGAGACAATCATGCAATTGCATTGTCATTTATTAAATCACAAGTGCATTGTTTTTGCGATTTATTAAATCGCAAGTCCAATATCATTGCCATTTAATATATCGCAAGTGCAATTTATTTGTGATTTATTATATCGCAAGTGCTATGTCATTGCGATTTATTAAATCGCAAGTGCTATGTCATTGCGATTTATTAAATAGCGCGCAATGTCATTTTTAATAAATCGCAGTTGTCATTGCGATTTATTAAATAGCAAGCGCAATGTCATTGTTATTTAATAAATCGCAAGTGCTATGTCATTGCGATTTAAAACAGGCTTAGCCTGTTTTGCCTGAAAATTGGGTCGATAATTAATTGGCGGGAGAAATTCAACATGGAGGACAACGAACAGTTAACGAGAGTTATTTCGGAGGCAGTTGCTAACGCAATTCGACAAGCGAGCAACGAGTCGTCGGGAAATTCCAGCGAGCAACTTAATCAGGTATTTATCCCTTTTTATCAGCACTTTTTCATCACAATACGCTTTGTTCAGATAATAATTTTAGCCAAAAGAATTGAAAAGCACATGGTCATACTCATATAATTTCTCAATAACAATTTTCCCTCTCACAAAACTCTTCTTACATATGAAATACTCTGAGAATCGAGTATTTTCTAAAAATTCATTGATTTACCATAATTTCAAATTAGCAGCAATTTTAACGCAAACTCACACAAATCATTAAACGCTACTGCACTGACATTGACGTTAAACTTATTTTCACACCTTTTAAAATAAAATCTTTATTTTCGTTTAAAGACCCACTTCCCGAACTTTCCAAATCTATGGTAGTTTATCAATTTTCATGTGCGGGATGTAATTCCCGCTATATTGGTGAAACTTCTCGCCAATTATCTACCAGGATAAAGGAACATACTCACACAGACACAAACTCCACTATCTACAAACATCTTCAAGCCTCTCCTTCATGTAAAAACAAATTCTCACCTTCCTGTTTTAAAATCATCGACACTGATCAATCCACTTTCTCACTCAAAATCAAGGAAGCTCTACACATTAATAAAACTAATCCCGATTTAAATATCCAAGTTCACCACTACAACACTATATTTACTTTATAATAATATTTTTTGTTATAAGTTCTTAATACTTATTTTTCTTTCCTTTTTTGTAAATATTTTATAATTTTGTAACTAAATCATAATCCTATTCATTGTAATTAATTTATTCATATCATATTACGTATCATATTACTTAACACTAACCATTCTGTACTGAAGATGGCATTCTGATAATGTCGAAACATGTTTGCTTTCAAAAAAATCGTCGTTTTTCTCAAGTGTTTTTTAAAATTCATTGATTTATTTGGCTGATTTTTTAGTTGTTTTTTTCTTGCTCTATTTCAGAGTCGAAGAAGACATAGAAATACACTACAGCTGCCAAGTTCTTTTGGTGGGTTACCATCAGCCACAGCAACATCAAGCCGGAAAAGACGACAGTCGAATATTTTTCCAAGGCCTAAAACACACACGAAAAATGTTTTTTGCTTGCCCCCTGTGATTGGTATGAATATACCAATTCCAAGGGGTGAAGCCAGGACAAAATTAGTTGAAAACGGCATGATGGCAAAAATGACATTTGAGTCCACGTGGAATGAAAATCAAATGAACGCTGAAATTTATAGTTTGCTTCGTGAGCTTTTTGAAAATGATAGCAGCCCCATGTTCACATTCCAGTATTTAAGGTTTGTTCATGTGAATTATGCTGTTTTGTGGAATTTTGTCGCACAGTATAAATTAAATCATTTGTTGCATTTTTTGTCACAGGTCTGTTAAAAAAGGTACTAGAATGTACGTTTAATAAGTTAAATTTTTTTATTATTACTTTTATATAGCACTCTTCCTGGTGCAAAGAAGCTTTGTATTCCCAGAACCTCCACCTTGTTTCATTGGAATGCAAAAGAGGTTTTGTCTATCTGCTTGAGGGATACGTTGTATGTGGCAGCTGAACAACCCCCCCTCAAAATGAAAATACAACAATCAACTATTAATAACTTTGTAAGTTTACAAAAACGAGATTGTCTTGGGTATGAATTTGTAGGATTGCAACAACATATTTATGTGTAATTTCACAGTCTAAAACTTGGCTTTTTGATTTGATTTTTGCAAATGCAAGGGAGAGTAAAACAAAATTTTCCAAATAAATTAGAAATCGCATTTAAAGTAGAGACCTTTCATCTTTTTATCTTTTAATCAGCTGTGAGTACTTTTAGTTATAAACAGGTAAAACTAGGAAGGTAGCTAGTGTTAAGTTAAAATAAATGTATTTGTGAAGATGTGAATTGCCAACTTCTAACAATGTGCTACAGTCGTTGTTATTATAACATGAAAGATAATTATATTTTTAGATCTCGCATTCAGAGTCTGAAAATGATTTCACTCCTGGAGGTGAAAATTTGGTAAATGACAAGAGGCTTGAAAATGAAGAAAACCCTGTAAAAGAACAAATTACTGTAAATGACTCGAAAAGCAGTATAAGTGAAGAATTGAATTGTACTCCAAGAGTAAGGTAGTCACATATTAACTACGTGTCACAAATAATTTTCCTTATTGATGGAAAAGCACATTCAGTTGATTTGCTCATTATTGTCTTTTTCAATACTTTTTCAGCAATTATGAACATATGATCATAGAAAAAGAAATCATTATTTCAGACGATGAGGTCGAGCTTGTTGAAACGTCACAGGCTGAGAGAAAGTAAGATAATTGGTCAAAATAAAGTAATTTGTATCGAATGCTTAATTGTCCTCCAGTTTGATTTGGTGGAACACACTTTAAACGATGGCCATTTTGTGGGTATTTTTCAGTGAGGAATATGTATCCTTACAGTCGATATTGTCAGATATTTCTGCAAAGGAAATTGACGAGGAGTCTAGATCATTCATAAATGTTCGTCGTAGCCAAATATGGGTCGACTCTTGTCGTCATTTAAACAAGAAGAAATTCAATCCAAAAGCTGCAGTGTCAATTACATTTGCTGATAGCCATGGAGGCAATGAGGGTGCTGTAGATGCAGGAGGACCGCGCAGAGAATACTTTAGGCTATTGCTCCGCGCTGTGAATCTTGAAGCTGGGATATTTTGTGGTCCTGAGGACAATTGCGTTCTTTTCAAAAATGCCACGGGTGAGAACAGGGAATCGATCAAGCGAAGTTATGGTTTCGTATTGAATTAATAATTTTATGTAATTTGATATACTAATGATGCATGTGAATGTTAGTTGAAAGTTTCTATTTTCTATCTTATTTAGCTCGAAGTAAGGGATATTACATTCTTGCAGGAAAAATTATTGCCTGGTCGCTTGTGCACGGTGGACCTGCAGGGAATTTCTTCAGCAGGTCGCTGTATAACGCTATTGCAGTTAATGGAAATTGCAGACAAACATGTATGGAAGATATTGCAGACATAGAACTTCGTGAAAAACTTACCCTGGTTTGTTGAGATGATTTAGATATATCATTACTTGACTTGGACAAAACTTTATTACGTATTAAAGATATTTTTACGTTCCATTTTTCTTTCAATAAAGTTGTTTTCTTGATTTTCAGATTAGTGATGCCAGTAGTGTTGATGACATCAACAAAATACTTGAAGACAACGTTTTAAAGAACATGTTAGAAGCCCAGGGAGCTCTCCTTTTGTGTCAGATGTAAATGAGAAAACCCAAATCTGTACGTTGTTGGTCCAACATGCTCTATTGGATTCTGTGCAGTTTCTTCTCAATGAGCTTAAAGAAGGACTTGAAACATTTGGCGTTTTGGAATCGATTCAACGATATCCTGAAAAATTTAGAGAAGTATTTTTCATGGGCGAAATGAGTAAATTAGATGCGCAACTGGTTGATCTTCTGTTCATTCCTAATTACGACGAAGAAGGATCAAATATTCGATTTTCACAAGAAGAGGCTGTTGTATATTTTCGAGATTACTTACAGGATTGCATGGGTAGGTAAAATGAACCAATATTTAGCGTGATTTCAACAATATTCTGATATCAATTTTTCTGTTTGGAGCAACAAACCTCTCTAGTTACTGTTTGCTTTTCTTAGTTTCATTTTATTGTTCTCATTCAATTTAAGATGGGGACGCCGAGGCAAGCCTGACTCAAGTATTTATTTTTGCAACTGGGGCATACTGCCCACCTCCTCTTGGATTCGACAATGAGCCTTCCCTTGAATTCACAGAAGTAAAATTTCCGAAAGCAAATACATGTGTTCCGGTTCTTTATTTACCGTTAGGACACAGCGAGTATTCCACATTCAAGACAAGCTTTGATTTTTGAGTATTAAATTCGCCCAGTTTTGGGAAAGCTTGAAGATTAATGAGTACAGTGCAGCTGTGTGTTATGTTGTTCAATTAACAAGTTTAGGTTGTTGCAGATTTTAAAAACAATCTCAAGTGTTTTTTACAATACTTTTACGTTTAATTAATTTGAATGGTTTATATGTAAGTTGTAGTCATTAACGTTAAGTAAGTATTCACCAACAAACTGAATAGCTCTTTGATACAGGATTTCTCCATCTTCAGTAGATAACGGTTCAACTGTTTGCAAAAGTTGATGAAAACCATGTTCATCGAGAACATTTTCATTAGAAGAAACATCTACATATGGGTTATCGTTCATCTCCAAAAGTTGTCCTGCACTCAGTCCATGCACCTGACCCCCTGCATTAAATCTTTCAAATTGTAGAGTGGTACGATGGCGATATCTGTAAAACAGTTGTACTGGTGAGCAATTTTCTTCTGTTGAGATATTATGATTGTTATGTGCTGCGATGAACTCCAATAGCGCTTTGTTTAACCTTGGCAAAAAGATGTAGTGAAGACAGTACAAATCGGTACTGTTCGACGGGTCCAACAACCCTTGATTTTCCAAATTGTAAAACTTTTGTTTGAAAACATTAATAACTTGCTCGTTTACAGTTCTGTTGTGGATTCGCTGGTTGTGTACAGAGCTGCCAACAATAACAGATTGGGATGACGAGCCATGCACGTCTACCATATTCCTCCATATTTGAACATTTTCACCCCCATAGTCGGTGCGTATTTTTAATGGCTGGCCATACTTCTCGACTGCTTTGTTAAATAGATCCAAGACCGTAGATGCGCGGTTATTGTTTGAAAACTTGCCAAATGTAACCAATCGGCTAAAGCCATCAATGCCATGATGCAGCACAAACTTCCAACGTATTAGTTTATGATAGCCATCAATGTGCCACAGGTAATTTGGGCATGGCACAGAGTAACGTCGTCGGCGAATTCGTAAGCTACTACGTGTTTCAACACCACGAGGATCTACTTCTTTAATGATACTTCTGATTCGGTTTCTTTGAACGTTAACACCTTTGGCGCGCAAGTGACCTTGTACCATCACCTCACCAGCATTTGGGTGACCTAGTTTGATTGCTACAACAGAACAACGTAACTCGTCGTTTGAATGATTTGAAAATCGTCCCTCGTAAGGAATATTGTATGCTTGTATTGCAGCATATACTGTTGGCCGGGAAACAGCCAATAATCGAGCTATTTCACTGATAGGTGTCTTTACTGATAGCAAATTTTCTAAATACTCTCTCGGGATATTCTTGCTAGGTCTACCAGGAGCATGCACACTATGAAATGACAAAATAAGTTTCTAAACATCTATTTTCATACAATTTCTATTTCAAAATAAAATACTAGGAATATTAATGTTATGTGTATGCATCTCACATAAAACAAGATTTTTGTTATCTTCGAAGTTATCTTCTAAACACATCATTAAAACACTATTATGGCTTTCTATTATATGTTACATGTAAGCCAACGACATAATAACTAGGAAGATAAAATTGAGCTGTTAGCTATTGTTTAAAGAGACTTGCGTCGAGATTCCAAAAAAAGATACGATAATGCTCGTTATTGTGAGGCAGTACTTTCGCCATCCCAATCGAAATGAAATAAAATTAATGTATGTTGTGTGCGTACGTATACCTGTCAATTTCAAAATCTCTTGAATTACTTTGAAAGCGATCAACTTGTCAGTTTAAAATAATAATTTTAGACTGTCATATTGCTACTCCAGTGTCAATATTTGAAATAATTGTGATCAAGGTAACGAGACGTCTGGGTTAGCACAATAACCCCAGAATCTTGACGTGCAATTCATCCATGTTAATGGTCTGATACAAAAGAATATTTTATCAGAGTTATTGTTGGCACCAGCAGGCGTGGGCGAGCAACATTGTTTTGCAAATCTCAAGAGAATGGTTGCAAGTCAAGAATACTTTTTCCTAATGAGAAGTCAAGGACAAATATTCGGTTTCCAGAAGTTTGACTTTTTAAAATGAATTTCTATAATAATCTAAGGGAAATCACCAGCAATGGCGATGACCCTCAATTTTTTATTCAACATCATTTTTATATGTATAAGTAGACAGTCTAAAGATAGACAGGCTGAGACAGCCCCTCGTCAAAGCATTTCAACAAACAAACATCGCTGTGTACCATTATTGTGATGAAAAAGTGCTGAGAAAAAGGGATAAATACCTGATTAAGTTGCTCGCTGGAATTTCCCGACGACTCGTTGCTCGCTTGTCGAATTGCGTTAGTAACTGCCTCCGAAATAACTCTCGTTAACTGTTCGTTGTCCTCCATGTTGAATTTCTCCCGCCAATTAATTATCGACCCAATATTCAGGCAAAACAGGCTAAGCCTGTTTTAAATCGCAATGACATAGCACTTGCGATTTATTAAATAACAATGACATTGCGCTTGCTATTTAATAAATCGCAATGACATAGCACTTGCGATTTATTAAATAACAATGACATTGCGCTTGCTATTTAATAAATCGCAATGACATAGCACTTGCGATTTAATAAATGGCAATGACATTGGACTTGCGATTTAATAAATCGCAAAAACAATGCACTTGTGATTTAATAAATGACAATGCAATTGCACTTGTCATTTAATAAATTGCAACAATTTTGATGCCTGCAAGTCAAAATACAAATTAAATTGCATTAGAAACATAAATGTTTTGTGTGTTTAATTTTTTTACAAACGGCGCCCCATAGATATATGCACATTAAAGAGACAGTCGAGAGATGACAAACTATTCAAAATATATAATAAGACAAAAATTTGATCTTTCTCGACTTTATGGGTCTCAAATTTGGCTTTTTCGTGTTTGACCGTGAGGTGCTGTGACTGGCTGGGTCTAGTTCACCGCACATGACGAACGTTGGAGTACACGCCGTTTTTAACGCTATAGTTTATATTGACATTTGTAGCGAAGTCGAGGGAATTTATTTATACTACACTTGTGTTGAGCGAATTTTTTAGTGATTGAGATGCGCGTTATTGAACAGAACTGCCTTCAACCTCCGTAATATAATCCAATATAAAGAAAGTCTAACGAACCTCACTATCTAAATTAATGTCGGAAACACTGGACGACATCGGTCTTCGCGAAAATTGAAATGAAAATTTCATAAATTATCAAATCGCGCACTTTGTTATTGAATTAAAACTATAGTTCTATAGCGTTCAAAAGCAGCATGCTCACCAATGTACGTCACGTTCAGTGAACTAGACCCAGTCTCAGCATCTCACGGTCAACTTTGAGGCCGAAAAAATTCAAGAAAGATCAAATTTTTGTCCGATAAAGTGCATTGCAAATGATCTTAAATCACCCACTCTATCTAAATACATTGTTTTCTGGGGCACATAGACACTTTTAATGGCTTGTAGGGGACATAGACACTTTTAATGGCTTGTAAGTAAATGATCTTTTACCAAAACTTCCACTTACTATTTATCAAAGTTAATTCTATGATGTGTTAAATCACCAGCATTACCACGGCCACCAGGATGTTTACGATGTTTACCTTACATAAAAAATGAAATAAATTTTTACAACATATGTCAACATATAGAATGACTGATTGTTGACATTTGAAATTTCTATTGACTAAATATGTAAACAACATGTATGGAAATGTACAAACATCTGATACATAAAGAAATCTGAACCTGGGAGTATCGTTACATGAATGTACATGTAGATCGTCTAGGTTGGTATAGTCCTGAGAAGGACTGTTTTTGTTGTTGTTGACTCTGAAGATGACTACCGCTAAGGTTGTCAAAACGCCAGTCAACAACAACAAAAACAGTCCTTCTCAGGACTATACCAACCTGGACGATCTACATTTACAAACATGCAAAGAAATTTATGATACACAATATCTATGCACAGGCTTTTGCAAACCGAGGAGATCTTTAGGAGAACTTGAGAGCATATCAGTGCAAGCCCAAGACTGAATGTTGAGATTTCTAACAAACGTCTCTGAGGTTTGCATAAGCCAGTGTAAACATGAAAAAAGATTTTTATTTCTTTTATAAAATAAGAATAATGCGACTGAAAATTTTTGAACAAGCGTTTTAATTTTGCTCTAAAATGTATTCATGATTGATTAGAATAATTCTCTTTGATTGATTGAGCTCAGATCAGTTTGCACAGGATAATGGAAACAAGGCTTTGACCACACACTTTATTGTGTTTATTTTATAAAAATCTTTAGTTAATGAGTATATATGGTAAATAATTTATTATAAGACAAAAACCTAGTCCTAAATTTGATGTGTCCCATAGCAAATCCATGGTATGTCTGAATACATTACAACAGCTAGTTTTTAATTCAAAATACAAATATAACATCAAAATGATAGAAAATTTCAATAAGACATTTCATAAAGTATTTTGATTTTTAGATATATATTTCAATGTACAAAAGATTTGGATTCAACCTAGACCTAATAATGAGTCTACCTTGATCGTAAATAGTATCATGGTAAATTATGTAACCTCAGTGAATTGGTCTTAAGAGTTTGACGTCAAGGTCAATTACGTATAAGCAATCAGTTGATCATGGATTTAAATGTTTGAAATCTCCCTCACATCTCATCTTCTGGGATAATTACAACTCTCAATGGACAGATTTTGAGTTTCCACATTGTTTGATTAGAAATGGCATTAAAACCTTGTATGAGTACTATTGTTTACGTAAAAAATAGCAAACAATAATAAGACAGCAGGTAGGATCAGGCCGCACATTCATATAAACAATGACAATTAAAAGTTTTGAACACATTCTATTTTTTCTGATCATTTTACAAGCACCTTGGTGTTCAAGACTATAATTGTGCAAAAACATTATGCCTGGTTTTGCAGAAAAAATAAATCCATAGTTAATATATTTAAGTGATTTTAACAGCTGGTCTTACACCATGGTTTATGTACAGTCCGAGTTAAGATGTCAAAACAATTTCTTAAACATGTCAAGAATGAATGAATACTGCCCATCATAATCCTCCTCAGAGTTATTAAATAATAGTTACAGTTGATTCTGATATTTTAAAGACCATCAAAATTTATTATCTTCAACACATTTAAATCTAGGCTAGCCTTGAGACAAAAATAAAGCGACAATGTGCCAAGTCAATAACATTTTCACAATCTACAACATTTCACTGGAACATGAATAAAATATATATTGTTTGTAATGTTTTTGAATTACATTAATAAAACTTAGAACTCGCATATTCCCATTTTCGTAAGCAATTCTACCTTTGCAGTGGGTGGTAGGTAAATGAAAATAGCTAAGACTTTCACAGGGAAAATTAATAACAGCAGAAAATCAACCGATCTAAGTTCATTTCTACTCTAGCTTAAAGCTTTAAGAAAACAAAATGCTGCGAAAATATTTATTTAAAAGTTTTCAACAACCATTCAATACTTACCTATTCGACCATGACCATGGCTAACGTGTCCTCGAAGCTTTCGAGTCTTTTTCAACCGAGCCGTTTACCATAAAATAAAAAAGCTTGTTAAGTATAATATTAAAGAGAGAAATATGACACGAATTGAGTAAAAAAGGTATTACATTGACATATAAGAGAGGTCTATAAGAACGACGTTTCAAAGCAATGAAGATATAAAAGGATTTAAAACAAACTATATAAATATCACCATAACTTCTACGTGGTAAAGAAAGAGAGAAAGACTAGATAGCCGCGCCTTCATTAGTCAATTGAGACCAGCGGTAATTTGGTTTAATGAAATACGTCATGTGCAACAACATATAAATTTTCTTAGATGTTTGTAGATGTAGATCGTCCAGGTTAGTAGAGTCCTGAGAAGGAGTTTTGATGCTGATGTTGACTGACGTTTCGACAATCTTAGCGGAAGTCATCTTCAGAGTAAAGTGAAGCCTTGTACACTACTCTTGACATTAGCTTTTCTGAAAAAATACAATAATTCAAATTAATAACCAAGTATGATTCTGGCGGGAAGCGAAGCGAATTTCAATGATAAATATGAAAGGAAAGTGCTTTTGAATGAAAGAGTCATTTAAAACAAAACTATATAAGATCTTTTATGTATCTCTACATCCTACTTCATAACATATTATCTAATCCTGATCTGATTATACTTATAGACCTTGTGATTATACTTATACATATCGGCAAGCGGGATGCATGTAACAATCTATGTTTAACATCATTCATTCTTTTCCAGTGGAAAGCGGGATGCTTTCACTGAAGGGCAATGATGTATTGTCTAACATTAACACCGGATTATGTTTCTGATATTTAATATGGAATTCGAGCTTTGTCCATATGAACTGTTCAACATGCTTCCAAACAAAAATGAGCAGGAATATTCAGTTGATTAATCTATGACAAAACGTATTCTTATTCAGTTTATTCTTATACCTGTGAGTGTTTTATTTTCTTGGTGAAGAAGCAATTTCTTTCTTCTTGTCGGTACATAGATTTGATAAAAAGTCCATTTTCCTGTGAAGGCTTGTTTCTCTATATTTCTGGTTTTTGTTCTGTTGCTAATTTGGCAGTTTATCTCAAGATCTTTTACATCAAATCAGAAATTGAAGCCAACACATTGCTCCTGTTGATGGCATTTGAAGAAACATTCATAGAAACAGAGACATGTGAATTCAGCGTCCACTTAGTTCAAACACAATCAACTCATTGTCATTCGAACTTTCGTGAGATTGTTCTTTGAGATCATGTTAAAGCACCACATATATTGCTCTTGTAATGCAGTTAAATGCGATGTGGATATTGCGATTGTGGTTTTGTTTTAAGGTTTTATATTCTTGAATTGCAACCAACCTCCAGGGACTTATCCAACAATGTGGCTCGCATAAGATGGCTGATGCCCACAATAGCACTAGTTAAATGCTTTTAAACGTGTAACTGTGTAAGCATTAATAATTTAAAACTCACTTCATGCCCACGAAGACGAAAACAGTCACATTACAAACTCAAAAAGCGGCAGTCGTTTTGAGTATGATTTAATTACATCAGCTTCATTTAGATTAACATGTTAGAAACTCATATTTCATCAATATCGTTGATTGAAACAATATTTTTTATTATTTCATGAAATGATTACAGTTTTTTTGACTTCTAGCTATGACAATTTTTTGCACATTTTCTCATAGTAAACAACGAGCGTAAATGCTTAAGACATATTACATGACGTATTGACATTGATATTGATCATTGTCATGAAATCATAAATATTTATGAAATTCTTCATGGTTTGATTTTCATTTCACTGGTTTTCACGTTATTAAAATTAAGCCAACCAAGATTTTTACCATTTAGGTTAGACTGATCACATGCATTATACCACCAAGCACCTGTGTAGGAAGTAGCGCAATTTCCACTACCACTTTTATCATTATCTGAATCTTTGGTTGAAAACTTCATGTTATTGTGATAGGATAATGCATCCAAAGCAGTTCCTGAAAAGTAGAAATAGTTCTATAGTTTCTGGTGATTTGTATTTTAAAAACGTACAAGAAACTGTTCAGATCATTCTGTCATTATTCACAATAAACTTTATATGCAACATTCCATGCATTTAATGATGCATATATATTATATTAAGAGTATTTGCTAAACAGTTTTTTTCGTTGTTGGCTTGAATCAAACTCACAGGAACAGAAAGAGAGTAAAGAAAAGCTTTGTGAGTTATTTACACAGCTTTTTTACTAAAGAACATTCCCAAGTCTTTAGATACGGCGCTCCAACACTTCAAAAGAAATTGTTATATGAAGTAACAACAAATGATCTTCATTCTCAGACATGTTTAAAATTAACTCACAGCAATTTAAATTTCCGTCTTTATATTGCCTGATTCAAGCACACGCATCGACCAATCAGAGGACGAATTATACATTTGTTATTTTATAAATTTCTTGCTGCAGGCTTTTATTTTTGCATGCTTTGCAAGAAAACATCTTTTCATATCATTAAAAATTACAACTAAACTAATCATTTTGCGCTATACTCTTTCCGGATTGCACATAGGAAAAACAAAAGCAAAGGCAAGCAAAAGTGCTTAGGCCTATTTCAAATGTTGCATTTACATGAGCCGAATGCATAGATGATTAATTTTATTGCATTTTCTTTTCTTTTAAATGCGTTCGACACAAGTAATATGCAACGTTTTAGATGGGCCGTAAAAATACGAGATGTGCTTATAGATAATATTCAGATAATTATAATCTTTTTGAGGAATAAAACTTGTCTTTAAAGTTACTGAATATCCTTCTCTTCAAAATTATCTTGCTAATGCATTGTATATTGTCTAAATGTAAAGTCGAATGCATTGTATATTGTCTTTCTTGCGGTTGACAATTCAGACGATACATTTCTTTACCCCTTTGGGTTTGTTAATAAGAGACGGGCCAGTCCACTTAGCCCGGGCTATCTACTTTGCTTGGCCAATTTGTATTTGCATTCATATGAGGCGGGCTGGCTAAGCTGAAATGTTGTATTTAATTTCTGCCCACAAATAATGTAGTTTGTGGGAAAATTAAATTAAGCTTAGACTCAGACATTCAACAATCTGATTGCTACCAGTGAGTTCAACCGACTATTGTAGTTGTATAACATGGAATTTTTTAAACTTATTTTCAATTGCACATTGTTGTTTTAAAAGTTTTGCTATATTAACCTAATAAGACAAGAGCATGCGCAGCCTAATACTAACCAAATAAGACAAGAGCATGCGCAGTCTCATCGCTTCCAGCCCAGTTCAGTCGGGCTGGCCCGCTCAATGCAGTTATATGAGCCCTTTAGAAGCGAGGTCTCGCTTCCTTCAAGCGGATGTCGTTAAGCCGGACTTACCTGCTCTTCATATGAACACAATTTCAAAAAAAATTGTAAAAGAATATACAAGGCAACATCTTGGCAAAGCTACCTAGCCGGCATAAACGGGCTGGCCCGTCTCATATAAACTGGCCCTAAGGTACAATCTGTCAACGCAATTTGCTATCACAAACACTCATTTTCTTCAATATTTTCTTACCTGTGTAATTTCCAATACTTAATTGATACTTAGAATTTTCATTCTTTACAACAAAATCTTCATATTCAGCGTATTTTTTAGTGCCTGACGTGTTTACTAGATCAATTCGAAGTTTATTTTTCTTCGTAGATGTTAGTCGATGTATCTTGTCCAATCCAAGCCAGAATTCGGATTCAAGATTACCAAAGCCACATTTATACTCCGCCCAACCCAGATAAAAGTCTGTATTTCTATTTTTTATATGTCTTTGAATTACAGTCTAACCACCACCAGATGACGTCATGTCACAGAAGACTTTAAAGTATCCTTTACCATCCGGATCTATTTTGTATATTCCATTGTGTCTTATACTTTTTCTGTAAAGATCTGCGCAGTCTTTCCCTGATGGTTATAAAAATATTAACTAACACAAAGAAATTAAATGAAAGATATTGTTTTAATTGAACAAATATTACTCCTTACTCGAATCTATAAGTGTCTTTTCTTTTTTTAAAATCATTCTTACCTTTTTCCGAGATATTTGTAAGTTTTTTAATTTCCATGTAAAGTGTTTTCATTTGTTTTTCAAGACTTTTCAACTCCGTTTGTAATGTTGCCCTTTGTGCATCAAGTTTTTTCATTTGTGACGACAGATCAATCATTTTCAATTCGACTTTCTTAATTTTTTGTTGTAGTTTCACTAGTGTATATTTTTGTACTTCTGTCCTATTGATTTTGTGTTTAAGAATTAACTTAAATGTTTGTAGATGTTTTTTCTCCGTCTGTAAATTTTTGTGATATGTTTGAAGTGTTTTTATTTGTCCGTCTATTGCTGCAATTTGTGATTTCAAAGTTGCATTGTTTTTATCGGATTTCAAGGTGCGTTTCATGTCATGGCTGAATGTTGAATAGAAATCTTTTAAATCATCTTCCTTTTCATTTGTTAATCTCACTCTACAAAAGTAAGAACATTAAAGTGAGTCATGCAAAAGTTTTCAGATGAAATATTTCACACTATGAACAAGGAATTGAGACAGACTTATATTAAATACATACATGACATAGCTAACAACTTACTAAAAAGATGTAATGCATATAAAAGTCTTACCACTCCCATGCACATTTTGAACAAAATAAAAGCATTTTGCTTGAGCTAATTTAAAAATCCTTAGTTTACGGTATCGTAACTTGCAAAGCTTTGATCATGTTTGTATTCTGCCCCAGCACTGAATATTAACTACAACTCGACAACATGTGCAAAAATATTGTTCAAATTTAAAAAGAAATACGCCTTAGAGACGTTTCTAATATAGTGTTCATAGCGTTCAATGATCACATTAAACATTTCCAACTTCTTCTTTGCCCTAAGCCATAGCTTACCCTTGAAGCCATAGCTTACCCTTAACAACGATGCAGGTAATCGCCACCAATGCACAAATAAAGCTCACCATCTTGTCTTGTGTCAAATGTCTTACAAGTAAACACTTTAGGTTGAGATGAGGATAGAGGCTATTTATCTATGTGTGTGTCCAGCATGAATAAACTGTGAGGATAAAGATGCCTTTACAAAGTTACACAGACTAATTTATTTCAGCAGATAATTGAACTGCTTTAAATAGTTTAAATATGTTGAACAGTTTGCACACAGAGCCACAAACTGGACATTATTTTAATTTAAAAATCGAATTCATTCAACTTGGAAGAAGTTTACAAAATTGACTCAAAACTTAAAACTCGGTAGTTTTGAAGGATTTGTAACATAACATTTACTGTTTAATAAACAGGCCTTTATTTATCGTAAAACAACACCACTAGCTGATTAATATAGAATTAATGAATAAAGACGTATTGTGATAGTGTGGTAACAAGCTGTTAATTACATTGTACTTCATTGATAGCTTGTTTGCGATGTTATAGATTTTTTAATAAAAAAAAGTTTAAAAATAATGAAGAGTTTTAATAATACATAGCACAAGGCATTGCAGTGAGCACTGTGTTTTGCTAAAAAAAAGGACCAATATTATCAAAAATTTTCAATTAAATGCTATTCGTGACGCCACTCTGTAAGGGAGCGACAGCCAAAACAAAGCTTGCATTGATATAAAGACTGTTAATTAAAAATTGAAAAGATTTAAGAGTATCCTTTGACAATTCTATTTTCATCGTATGAATAGGATCCACCAAAATGTGTGTTAAAGAGCACGTATGCTGTATGTTGTTGATGCTAAGAAATAACAATGTTTTGGATGGTGCTTGATATTGGTTGTTGTAGGGTCGCCTTAATTTAAAAATTTTACATCAGCTACTTTCTTTTTGAAGAAACATCTAGCTATTTAAATGCACTTGTTGAACTGATTGAAGACTTAGCAGCGTGGAGCGCCGTATACGTCAAAGGAAATTACTTTTTACGTCATATCATGAAAAAAATTTGAGCTTGCTGTTTACAAAATTAAAGTTATGTTCAATGGTATATTTTACACAGCATGGCATTTAAAAAGAATAGAAAAACACGCACAATTTTTTTTTCTCGATAATTTTGAAAGTGATGTAGAAGGCAATCCAACAAATATTATTCGTAATAAATTAAATGGTTTGAACTCGACGGTATCGTTACATGTTTGTGGATGTAGATCGTCCAAGCTAGTAGAGTCCTGAGGAGGACTATTGTTGTTGATGTTAATTGACGTTTTGACAACCGTATAGCGGTAAGCCATTACAGTTTTTAGCCTGAATAATCGGCTAATGAAGATCTAGAAGGTTACCAGTCAAATTAGAATAGGAATTTGAGTATGTTAATCATCAGCACTAACCAAGCCTCAACATTTGATGACGAACCATGGTGTGCCATTCTACAATAATGAGTTAAAAATAAGAGTAACGTTGACAGATGTTTTGTAATTATAGAGATGCAAGGTTGGATCAGCGCCCACTGTCAAAATAAATTATAAATGTATTCGATCAAGCTATACGTAGGTATGTTTGTTTGAATAAAGTGAATTTTTAAAATAATTCGACGTCTACCGTAAGAAAAACCGGCTACCACTTTCAAATCTGCACGACGGACAAGTTTTTTTTGCAATAATAAGTTTTGAACCATTACAAAAGTTTCGTCGAAATAAAATTTTGATTTTATATATTTGTTATGACTGAATATGTAAGAGCACCTAGATCCAATCAGATGTTAACATGCATGTTCTCTTTTACATAGTAGCCATGCCAACATACCAAGCTTCATTGCATTCAAGACTTACTTGAATACATTTAACTCGTGTAACGCTAATGAAACACTTATTTGCAAGAGATAAACAATTTGTAATTATGGAAAGTGTAAATTATACACATAATCTAAACATAAGTTATAAGCTGGGTGCTTACAATTTCAAGTGTATGTACATAAGGGCCTGTTCATATGAGCCGGGCTGGCCCGCTTTACCGAGCTTGCCCGGCAGTAGCAAGATCTCACCTCTTTTAGTATTTACATATAATTTCAAATTTGATTCATATAAGCGAAGGGCTGGCCTGTTTTGCCGGGATCTCCCTTAAACGAGGCGGGATCACGGCATAAAACGGGTTCATGTCAATGCACAATGCGGGCTAGACCGGCATGCCGAGTTAAACATCGTACTATTGCACATGCTCATAAAATTCAATGCGATGCAAAAGATAGGGCAAGCAAAAGAACAACGTTCGGTGGACTATAGACTAATGCATAACATCATCGAGTTTGTTTCAGCTTATAAAAGTAACATAAAGTATCGAGATTTGGACTTTTATGCGGCGTGCGTAAATAATTATTACTGTACTTTGTCGGGTTAGCCCGCCTCATGTGAATCAAATAATAAACTGGCCAGGCAAAGTCGGCCAGCCCGGTTCATATGAACAGGCCCTAAACTAATAATAATTCGTTATTTATTGACATCACATTTCTTTGACATAAAGGCACCCGTCATACTATGTCACCGACCGACGCAAAAGCAAATTTTGCCATTTTATGATATATGATCGATATCCACAAGCTTGGAGTTAGGACAAGATCATGGAAGCTCTATTGATGTATTTAAGTCAACTGTATTTTAATAATTTATTGCCAACTATCGATGATGCATGCACGTAATTTCATGTTGAGTATTCATGAAGAATAGGATGGTTTCATCTGATAATAAAAGAGTTTAATTATTTGAGATTTAGACAGTAGCTATTTTATGCTCGAAGTTTCGTCCAATGAATTTGCACTATTACTAGTTGCTTGACTATGCAATGTTTAAAAGACGAATTTTGCGCCACTATTTTGTTTTATATAGTCAAACCTTGATGTAAATCAACTTGCACAAAAAGATTTCTTTTTTCTTTAGTATGAAAAGCAATTTTACTATTTATAAGGAACAACAGACACAACAGTTTGTTTACAAATTCAAACTGACAGTATTGCATTATATGTTTGGAATTTGTAGTTACATACACATCCTGTTGTTTACTTATTTGATATTTTGTTGTATAAAATACAACAAATTTACAAAGTATATAAATTTCTATGCCTAAGACTCAACCCAGCTGTTTTCCTGTCTACAAGTGATATGTATCCTTCTTTTGATATTCTGTCTCAGCAGTCAATTAAATTAAGTAATTTATTCATACACGACTTAAAAAGAAACCTTTAAAAGGTGGCACTCGATACAGATCATTCTAAAATATAGCTATATTTTGTGTACTTACTTTTGATGCAGTAAAATTGATTACAAGCTGTATTTCGCCGTTGATCATTCTTAAAACACAATTTACGTTGTAGCTATAATGAAGCAAACTGGCAATAATTCCCCCCAGCTGTCTCCAGTATAAAAATTATATAAGTATAACTCTATTATCCCGAACAGCAATTTTATTGTTAATATCAACTTTGCACGTACATTGAAGGAAGTTGTTGTGTCATAACGAACAACATATGCAATTACGAACATGTTAACGTTATCAACACGAATTTTTGAAACTTCTACTTTAAAATAATAAATGTGCAGGACATTATTTTTTGAACGTGGCCAAAATGAGAAAAATGTTTTATTTCAGTTCGCATCGCCAGCATACTCATGTAATCCTGCTGTCAATCTCTTTGAGTTTATACTCACAGCAAAAACAATGAATTTGTATAGACATGAATAAGGATGTTGAAAAGCTGGACTAAAACTTGAGAACTAAAAAACTAAACATCACTTGAAACATAGCTACCATCAAGGTATGTAGCTATAAACTTCTACCTCACAAATTGACCGAAATTATCCATTTCTAAAAGTAGCTTGTGTTGATGAGCTTATTTTTGGTTATCAGCAAGCTATTGAAATTGATAATTCATGCTTTATTTTCAAAGGAACTGTAATAAACACAAACGTGGCATTTATAAATATATACGTTAGAAGATATTAGTTGAAGTAATGTCAGTTGTTGTGATTAATTTCTCACTAGTCTACAACATGTGTTTTTCTTTGTGTATGTACGCTCAAGCCTTATTTAAAACGTGATCATTTAGAGAACCTGACATCGATGATCTAACTTGAAGTAGTTAAATATGCCAGTATTTTATCGATTCTCTTGGCCTTTGTAAGCCACACGACAATTTTACAAGACGCTTTATAAGGACTTGTATTTTCAAAGTGATTAACAAATCCTTCCTCTTTAAAACTGAGATATTTTCCTCTGCTGCATGATGTTACGTTCTGACAAAAATCTTCAACTCTAGTCCCACTGATATTCACTACGTTTCTGAAGATTGCAGAGCGAGCATTCTGGGTACAATGGCTGGGTACTGCAATATAAAATTAATACGCATGCGCATCATTGTTTTTCTTTTTAGCACGGTTTCGTCAATGAGAACGACGCTGACTATTTTTGCTCTAAATTACTCATTTCATTCCTAACGATTCGGAGATGACTTTAACCACCAGGACAACGATAAACTGTTTTAGCAATGTGATTATCTTTCTTCAACATTTATAATTTTGATTCGGTGTTGTAATGTTGTTTTATTTATTTTGCTATTGGTAGAGGATAATTAAGCCACTGATATGTAAACTAAACTAGACTATTTCTCTACGCAAGACACGTCCACAAATGTCAGTATAGAAACCAATAAGGCACGACTAGAAACCGACACATCGGACACCTCAGTCAAAAGAAAATCTTCTATAGGACGTACATTACAATGAACGTTCTACATGTGATTACCAATTTTTATGAAAACTACTCTTAGATCCTTCAAATTATAACCTTGTTTTGTTCCTTATGAGGAGATAGATGTAACGATATAAATTATCAAACATAGTACACCGGGCGGTTTTGACCGGATGTACTGTAGTGTGGGGGAGATTCTAGCGCCTTCTAAATTGTGTAAGTTTTCCTAGGACTACGTGCAATGATGGGCTTAAAACGTCGGTCCTTGGTGAGTCCTAGGTCAGGCTTGATGTGTTTACACTGGAGGCCTAGTCAGTCCTTGGTAAGTTACGAGACCGCAGTGTAAACGCGGTTTATATATGGTGTGCAACCATTCTTTCTGGAAGGAACACGATTGCTGACGAGCCAGATAATAAACAATTGTTTGGATGAGGTTGAGCATGATATCAAAAATTATTCAGACCAAGGTCAATATTATCTGCAGAAGCAAAGCTGAGGCAGAATACGTTGCCGAGGTCTGAATAATTTTTAAAATCATAACTACGAAAGCCAAGTTCAATAATTGTTTTATTATTCACTTTAACTAACTGAAATATTATTAACACATATCAATATAGAACATTTTTCAAACCTTCGTTAATTTTTTTGTCAGCTCGTTTATTCAAGTTCATCTTGTTTAAATATGTTGTAAGCACGTTCAAAGCCATCTTAGCCGCTTTTTTAGTGTTTTCTGGATGCTTCTTGTTTCAAAGCTTTTACATCGTTTTTAGAAACTGTGGAAAACATCGCTATGATTTGACTTTTTTTCGAAACCGGCTCTTAATGACGTCCATAATTGTAGAAACTGTTATTTGTAAATAGACGTCTTACCTACAGATATCTAGAATTATTTGCAGGTAGTTGACCAATCAAAAGCGACATTGCTTACATAGTGAATAATGATGTAAGATAATTGCATGAAATGCATGATACACCAAGATTGCGTGGAACGAGGCGAAAATATAGAATTAGTTACATACAGAGCAATATCTCATTAAAGAAATGAGTGAAAAGACATAACATTAGAATCACATAATTACCTAAATCAGCTCTAATTTTAGAGAAAATATTAGAAAGTTATTATTTCACCACAGTATTTTTAACTATTTTTTCAACGCTTTTTTAAATGATAATGATTATAAAGGATCTTTAAAAGACATAAAAGTTATTTTTTGTTATTAAATGTTGAAAGTTTCATTAGAAATAGTGATCAAATTTATGACATTACAGCTTTGGAAATTCTTTATGCTTTTATTTTCATCTCAGTGAACTTTAAAGATTTACCACCTTTCCATTGTCGCCAAGTCACACCTTTGTAATTGTTTTGGTTGCCACTATAGTAGTGTCCATTCAGGTTAGAGTCATAACAATAGTTATCATAACAATACCACCAAGCTCCTTTCCAGTCAGTGGCACAGTTTCCTGCACTTTGATGATTATTTGAATCTTTTGTTGAAAACGCCTTGGCTTTATGACAAGATAATGAATTGCTAGCATTTCCTACAAAAAGTAGTACCTTTCAAAGTTCGCATTTTATGCAGTTATAGAATTCTTCTGAACTTGCAGAAACTCTCCCAAAATGGGTTTTATGTCATTGTTAGAAGATTCCTACAGCGGTTTTTTGGGGGGCTTTTGTGAGATTTGCCAATAAGTTTTTTTATTTTATGTAGAAAAAGAGGAAGGAATGATGTAAGTGTTAAAATATGTTATATAACACTGAGTTTTCATTTCACATATTCTGGTGCATGTGGGACATCCAACGACAATCACATTATAACATTGCTACCGTTTGTCATAAAGTTGTTATAGCTGACTTATTTAACAACTTGCTGTAAATCCGGTTTCAAAATGGAATAAATAAATTGCAAAGGTAAATAAATTTGTCAAGACTTTGACTTTGATCCTACTTTCATTTCCCAGAAGATTATTTCCACATCCCAGCCTTAACTCATTGCTCTCACTCCTATGTTAAGTAATGAATGGTATTTAATTTTTATTATAATAGACCTTAAAAATTCTTTATTGACTTGATGATATACCTGTAGTGTTGTCCGAGACTTAATTTACATTTATGTTTTTCATTCTTCTATATGTAAATTTATCCACGTATAATTGAATGAATTTCAGTAACGTTTATATATGTATAAATATATTATATTTATTTATACATATTCTTGAGGTTAAATAGTTGGAATGTTATGAAACAAAAAGAATAATAGCATAATGCTTTAACGAACAACTACAAACAATAATGACCTTATCTAACAACATTTGAAAATTAAACTTCCTCCTCTTCTTTGTAAACAAGACAAGTCTATTCAAAAGCAGAGAGCCTTAATTACAAGTCCTGAGCTTGTGACCAGTATAGCAGAGTATAATTCTAGGACTAAAAGGAACAGGAGTGGAAGGTTAATTTTGCAAATGTTGTTAGATAATGTCGTTATTGTTTGTAGTTGTTGGATAGAGCATTATGCTATCATTTTTTTATTTATACATATATAAAAAATCTTGGAATGGAAGCCTGAATTTAATATTATATATTACAGGTTTGCATATATTTTATATAAAAGGTTTTAATGTTTATTTAAGTCCACATAATTTAGCAATGTTTCAGGCGCATGCTCATTACTTGTTTACAAAGCTTCAATTGAATTTTCATTTAATCTTAATCATACGGTAAGCACAATCCATGAATGATCTCTTTTTGTAAGTCAAAAATTGTTGTCGTAGGGTGCAACTTAATGATTCACACAACAAAATGATTTTTATGTTTGTTCAATGTATTTTGTTCGTAATATCAAATTGATTATATTTTTTAAGATCTAACAAGACTTCCGCTCAAAGTCAACCGTTAAAATATCTATGTTTTTCCCAAAATTGCTGACCTGCCCACGCAAACTCGAATCATTACAACGTATAATGCTTATATCAAAAAATGGCTTAGAAATTTGTCCATCAAATGTTTACATTTACTTATTGACTCACCAGAATATGCACCAAGACTCAACTTATATTTATTTGCTTCATTCTCTACAGCAAAATAATCATATTCAGCATATGCTTTGTTTCCTGACCAGTCTCCAAGGTCAACACGAAGTTTATTTCTCCTTGCTGATGTTAGTCTGTATATTTTATCCAATCCAAGCCAGAATTCGCCTTTCAGATCACCAAAACCATTCTTATAATCCCTCCAATCTCGATAAAAGTCTACACTTCCATCTTGACGACGTTGAAACACAGTCCAACCTCCACTAGATGTTGTCATATCACAGAAAACATTGAAACTGCCCTGGCCATCTGGATCAATTTCATAAACTCCATTCTTCCTCTTTCCTTTCATGTATAGATCTGCACAGTCTTTTGCCTATAAAAATATTATTGAAAAATCTATTGCATTGAACTTCCTACGGGTTATAAATCATTAGGCATCCAAAGAAATTGTTATGAAAAGCTTTCCTACATAGATCCATTGTGCCAAATAGCTGTTCAAAACATTTTAAGATTAAACTCAACATATTTAAAATTGGCACAATTTCATTCTTATCCTCGAAATCGTATGAATTTTAAAATTGCATTCTTTTTCTCGAAATCGAATTAAATTCAGTAACCTAAAAATAGACACTTGATTGGGCATTTTTCTTTTAATTAGTACTTTAAGTCAGATTTTATATAGTTTTGCACAATGCTTATCAGGAAAAAAATAAGCGTTAACAATATATTTAAAATTAACACATAATACCCACTTAACAAACATTTTCAAATCAACCACTTTCTTTTTTCTTACCAATGCATGAGATTCATAAAAAGTCCATTTGCCTTCTGAGGCTAGTTTCTCCATATTTCTGGGTTTTTTTCTGTTGGTAATTTGGCAGTTTATCTCAAATTCTTTTGCATCAAATAAGAAATTAAAGCCAACACATAGTTTCTGTTGATGACATTTCATGGAACATTCAATGTCATTGTGAACAGCATGAGTTGAAATGATATCTTTGGTGATAACGTCTCACCTTTAAAACAAAGAACAAAACAGGATCAATTACAAAAGGTGTAAATAATACAAAAAGATAACAAAGTCTATTTTATAGTCAAAAATACAAAAAAGAAATAACAAGATTTATAAAATGCAATGAGTCATGGAGCAAAAGAAAGTGAAAGATTATCTTCGCTCGTCAAAATTAACCAATAAATTATCAACGTTTAAACCTTAGATGGAAACATTTTATATAAATATCATGAAATATAGGGTGATAACACAATGGTAAATATATAATATTTCCCTATAATTTCTACACTGTGTTTCGTATATCACCACTTTTATTGCTCTTGCTTCTGAAGCTTTTTGATAAATATTTCCTCAATCATAAAGATTTTTATACAATTTAAATATTAGCCGTCATGTTTAAAGTAAACATATAAGATCAGTACTGTACATTGCCCCTTGCTACTCTTAAATAAAAGACCAGCTTCATGGCTGTATAATTTCGGACTTAAAGCTTCATTTGAAAAGCTACTATTACATTTACACTGATGTTGAAAAGAACCATAGCTACAAGTATAGCAGGTAGATTCTTTAATCATGGAATGATTTAAAATTTTAGAAATCATAGCATTACGACTTATTTCTTATGTATAGCAATGAAACACTATTGTGTAAGTATGCCTGAATGTTCAATAAGAATAATTGACTTTATGAGGTCAAATGCAGTGTTCTTAAACAAGTCCCAGCGCATTAATTGTGTCAGCGCAAGCTCCCGTAACTTTGCCTGAAAGAGAAGGTTTTTGTTTTTGGATAAGGGTAGAACTAATCATAAAAGTTTACAACTGATCAAAAAAAACCGTAAAAAATTTTGGCTAGCGTTTATTTTTAGCATCGGCCGACCATTCGCACAGATATTACGTTCATTCAAATTTTAATTATAATAAACCAAAAAAAGAACTCCTTTCATACATTTTGGTTTGTTTTTATTTTATATGTACAAACATGTTTTTAATATCTAACCTCTAGTTCTTTCCTCTTTTTCTGGAAATAGGATGACATTGCAGAATTTTTAGAAGTTAACTTCGATGCATCAAAGCTGGAAAATAACACGACAAACATTGCCTCGTCAAATTTATACCGTCCTAACAGCAGTTTTGTTAAGTCTTGGTTTATTCCAAACATTTCATGAGAAGGAAATAGCAAAAAGTTCAAAATATTGATGTGTCCTTGTCGGCTTTCTGATTTAATTGGTAACATACACCAGAAAGGGAAAAACAGCCAAAGATCATACTGTAGTCAAAAAAATTGAAGCTGAGAAGTCTGCCTGCTTCTATTTACTATCTACAGAGATGGACATTTCAAATCTTATTTTGCTTCTGTTTACTATCTACAGAGATGGACATTTCAAATCTAAATTTTTTTAAACTACAGTGTATGTTCATTTTGAAGCAGGCAGACCTATTACTTATTAGCATAGATTCATGACGTTAGACAGAATGTACTAATCTCACATCAGAAGACGCAAAATAATAAATAAGAATCAATGATCTGAAATGTGTTAGAATGCTGTTGAATTGATTTGATAAATGTTAATAAAACAGCAAAATAAATTATCATAATTATTTTTTTGGGTTTGGGAGCTATTACGATAGGAATTGTTGTTCAAATATCAATCAAGACATGGTTTAGAGGTATATATGCATATGTAGATGCTTTTGCAAAAATTTTTTTGCCATGACATAGTGAGGACATTGGGATTATTACTGTTTCATTATTCATGATGATAACTCACACTGTAGGTTTATAATACATCTGCTTACAGGACCCTAATAACGTCATAAAGTGAAAATGTAAAGTACACAAATGTAAAATATTTAAATTTGTATAAAAAATTTATATTTTACTTGAAACAAAAAAAACTTTGGTAAATTTTGCTTCAGTTTTTCAGTGTAATGTAATAAGACATATTTAAGGAATCGCTGGATCGATGAAACATTATATAATTGTTCTTATGATTTTGTCCTTTATCATAAAACAACTTTCAAAACTTCAGAATAAACCAAAACTCAGTATTTCTACAAGTCTATTGCTTTGTTGATTTGAGTGACCACTAGGTAATATTTTCTTGATACAATATTTGTCGTGTTATCGCTTTGATGCATCCAAGTTTACATTCAGGGAGTGAGGGGGGGAGTGAATTTATATATCTAGACAACACATACGTCTCATGTAAATTAAATACATTAATTTCTTTTATTATATGGCTGGTGTCACTTCCAGTAAACTAGCGTGCCTTCATTAGCTCAAAATCTGTTTTGTAGGTCCATTTTTGCAAACAATCGTAAACAAATTTCGTAAAGCAAATAGTTATAAAACGCAAAAAGTTAAGCAAAAAACAATGTACGGAACTGAGTCGAGCTAGAAGTCTCGGAATCTTACCTGTTTTATTATTCTTATCAATGACACAATTACATGTATTTTTACTAACGATCAAACGTAAAGAATTGAAGGCCAAAAACAGCGAGAGCAACAATGCTAGATAGAACGCTTCGTTTTAGATTAGAAAAAACATATATGAAAAATACTATCTTCGCTTGTTCAGTTTTTGCTAATATATTTTGCCAGAACGGTATAAAATAGATATGAGAAAGCTTTATTGCAATTAAACAACTACAAATGTAACCTGCAGGTACGCGTTTTAAAACATACTAGTTTTTTACATCCTCCAAAACATTTATTTTATCTTTTACTCTGTAGCTTACCGTTGTCTTTTGTCTTCATAAAAAAACTTTGTGAACTTTGACAAGCATTATTCAATGCATTGCAGATAGCAACTAAAAGAAAAACTACAGAAACGCGCATCAACATCTTGCATAAAAGGGAGAAAATACTTTATGTTTGAAAAACGTTTTTGAGAACGTTTATATAGCCACCGTCATAAAGAATAATGTATATATTGTACATGCAGCTGTGTTTGATTTACCTAAATTGCATAAAAAAGCACTTTCCGATATTTTGGGAAGGTTTTAAGGCGATAAAAGCGATTTATATTCAATTCCTAAAGGAGTAAGCTTGTAGAAATATTTTTGCTGGTTGACAATTGATAAATTGGATAAATTGGTGTATTAGTGAACATTATCTTAAAACATTGCTCACACTAATTATATCCTATGTGATAGACAACGCATTAAGTTAAACCTACTAAGTTATTAATCATTAAGTACTCAAGTGTCTTCGTTTCACATATCGTGGTTAATAATTGATTGCTAAAACCACCAGGTCTGTATTAATTAAAAACGTAAAAACTTTTCATAATCATTTATAAATAAAGTAACTGTTAAAGACATCTTTAGACGATGTTGTTGTCTTTTGTACTGTAACATACCATTGTCTTTTGCCTTCATAAAACCACTTTGTACGCTTTGACAAGCATTATGTGATGCATTGCAAAAAGCAACTAAAAGAAAAACTACAGAAACGCGCATCAATATCTTGCATAAAAAAAAAGTAAACACTTTGTGTTTCAAAAACTTTTTTGACAACATTTATATAACCACCATCATGAAGAATAAAGTATATTTTGTAGGTGCACAGCTGCATCTATGCTTTACTTAAATTGCATAATAAAGCCCTTTGGGGTTTTTTTAGGCAATCGACCTATAAGGCCATAAATGCCGATTTTTCTTTAATTCTATGAGGCGTAGGCTTGTAGAAATATTTCTTTCTTGAAGATAATTGATAAATTGTTGTATTGGTGAACATCATCTTAAAGAATCTACACATTAATTTTACCTATGTGACAAAATATATATAGATGAGTTAGTTAAAACTTAGCTTTTTTATTATTAAGTACCCAAATATGTCTTCCTTTCACAAATTATTGTTGATAATAAATAAAACACCAGGTCTGTATTAATTACAAACGTTTCTAATTTAAAAATCTTTGCAAAAAAACTCATTTTCAAATTAGTGAACAGTTGTACAGACTTCTCCTGTTTTGTTTTTTTCGTTTAAAATTAATTTTGGGCTATGTACGTACCATATATAAGGGGTTTTTTACGCGATATCTTGCTATATGATGATGGTGTTAATGTCCTGAAAATATTTTTATTTCAAATTGGACTGAAATTAAAAAGCTTTTACCGGACAATGACGTGCTGTTTTGATAAGCTTAATGATAAGCTCTTTTACAAAAACATATACGTCAATGTAAGACGTATATGATAGTGCTCAGAACAAACAACAGATGAAGCGTTAAGTAATATATCACTAAAAAAGATAAAAGCACTTTTAAAGAAAAAAATTATCTCACTCTTGAAGTTCTATAGTATTAAAATACACAGAACCTATATGTTTAAAAGAATGTTTCAAAGAATAAAATTTCATTAAAAGAGAGTCTAAAAAATGCATGCATATAGCTAATTCATAAGGTGATAAAAAGGTTTTTATACTTCACAGCGATTATGAAAGAACAACAAAGAAACTCCTATAGCTGGGGAAAATCCTTCAACATAACGAATTATAATTTTTTAATGATTAGGTTTATCCTTTCACGAAAAACATTAAAAAAGAGCAATCACATTTTTCTTTTCGTGAAATTGCAGTTGTGTTGCATACATTTTTTTGCTATTTTTTACTATTCGAAATGTTTAAAGACATCTTCGTTCATTTTCTTGTCCATTAGTTATAATAACGAAAATTAATTTAAATTGAGACAAAATTACAAAGCGTGAATTAAACAATGACATCCAATCATTTTAAAATCATTTGCTATATTGTTTTCACTCACAGTTCTTAACATTAGTCCAGTCCCGAACTTGTGAAACGGGGAAACTGGCAGGAACTTAAACATAAGACTAACTGAACACAAACGAGCTACAAAGAAACAAGACAGAACTAATCACATTGCCGAACATCACCGAATCACAAAGCACAACATTGACTGGGACTCGGCAAAATGCATTACTTACAGTACTGACTATAGACAACGGCTTACATTAGAA